AGACTACCTGCAAGAGCTAAACGGGTCACTACCACAGATTTTTCTCATCCCAGTACGCAGAAGCAATATAATAACCTTTAGCATAAAGTTTTTGTTTCACTATAGTTAAATGGCAAATTTTAAATATCAAATTTTTTTTTTTAACGCACACACTCAACATAGCCCCACACTAGGGAAACCCTGTGTCGCGGGTGCCATGGACACACACATAGACAACCACAAATTACACCCAAACTCACGAGAGAAATAATTGTAGGCCATACAACTATTTCTCCCGGCCCGGGAATCAAACCTGGAACCTCTGCGTGGCAGTCCGGCATGGTAACCGTTCGGCCACGGAGGCAGTTGATCAATCGGACTAGTTTATTTTTATTGTAGCTAGAATATTTTTATATAAGTTTACCTTTTATATGTCTGGATGCCTTTATTTGACTGGACCTGTGTCCAGTAGTCCAGTCAAATCAAAGTCAAGTCAAATTCCTATCTGTATAGGAATTGACGTGTAACAAAATGAGCATAGCAGCTTATTTCGTTACACGTCAATTTCTATGCAATTTGTGGTTTCTTTCACAAATAAATTAACTACGAATCAGAGTGTATGTAAGTTATTGAAGGATTTATCAAAGGATATATTAATTGCTGACCTTGCTCTGTTGGCATATTTGTTTTCCGCGGGCACCACAGCCGCCGCCGCCACACCGACCAACACCAAAACCAAGAAGAGCTTCATCGTGACGCCACACTAAGTGAGCACCCAACATATCTTCCATACTTATATATAAAATGATTATCTAAAAGATTTGACTTATCAAAATTATAAGGATGCGTATAAATATTTTTTTTTAATTGTGTGTAGGTACGGTCTGTCTATACAATTGTAGAACATCCATTTGGGTTGTTATTTGTTATTTGGGTTGTTTTCTCTGTTCAGAGGTTTACTCTGAACCATATTATAATATGTATGCTCAGAACTGTTTAGTAGAGAGAGCTGTAGAACTGTTCGTGTTGTCGATGATGCCAAACTCACAAACGGTATGGAACCCCTTATTCTACGGAGAGACGTTGGCTGTCTATGGGTGTTCTACCGTCTTTATAATAATAATAACGCACACACTCAACATAGCCCCGCACTAGGGAAACCCTGTGTCGCGGGTGCCATGGACACACACATAGACAACCACAAATTACACCCAAACTCACGAGAGAAATAAATGTAGGCCATACAAATATTTCTCCCGGCCCGGGAATCGAACCCGGGGACCTCTGCGTGGCAGTCCGGTATGGTAACCGTTCGGCCACGGAGGCAGTTTATAATAGGGAGTGCTCTGAGGTACTTTTCGAATTGGTGCCACCGTCTCGTTTCCACCATCGCACCTCCCGCCAAAGGAGTAGAGTCCATCCCCACATCTTAGATGCCTGGCATTGTAAGACCACGCGGGCGTCTCGTTCGTTCCGTCCTCAAACCTGCAAGATGTGGAATGATCTTCCTCCTGAGGTATTTCCTTTACGCTATGATATGGGGTTCTTCAAAAAGCGTGTTTGCAGGGCTCTCAAAGGCTGACAACGCATAGGCAGGTCAACTGATGTTGCAAATATCCATGGGCGACAATGACCACCTCCCGTCAAGTACCTCGTCTGCTAGGAAGTACTGCCACCTTACCTATTTCTGCCGCCAAGCAGTAATGTGGGTATTACTGCGTCCCAAGTTTTGAAAGGTAAGGATGCCGGTGAAATTACAGGCACATGGGACTTCTCAACTTATGTCTCAGGGTTAGGGGCACAGTGGAAGTGCCCCTCAGGTCTTTGTACTTTAAAGCTCTAAGTGGCATGCAACTGTTATGGACAGGCGTGTCGCTTACCAACAGGCGCAGGACGTGTTCATCTTGTGACGGTGCGACCTCCTTTCACCGTCATCTCACCTTTTTGTATCGCCTCTCTCCTCTTGTGTCCTATCATTTTTTATTTTACTTGTATTTAAATTTTAAATTTGAATTGTTCCATCTTCCTTCACTTTCTCATTTTGTTTTCGTACCACGGTCACTCCCAGCTCGACCGCCACAACAGTTAGAGCTGTTAATAAGCTAATCATGTGTAATAATTTATAACTCTACAGCCTTCTTATCTATTTCTGTAATTTAGTTTCTCGGCCCATTTAGGGATAAGTGCCTTAATAAGAGTGTTTTATACTATTATACCGGTTTTTTACATTTACCTTTTTATTGTTACAGCCCTTTCTTTAAACTTTACTTCTTTAATAAATTTTGTGGACCGGAAGTTTCCCATTTCATTGCCGTGAACCTGTTCACGGCTAGTTATGGTTACAACCCTTTCAATCTCGTCCCTTGTTATCATAAAAAAACTACCCATGAACTGCTAAGCGTCTTTTGTCCAAAAGAAGTCGCTCTAATTTTGAGTCTCTGTTATTGTAGTCCAGTGGTTTTTAGATTTATTTCGGTCATAGACTCCTTACCATCACAACACTTACAAATACTATTTTGTTTGTCTGACAAGATGATGGAGTACACCAGACTTAAAGTGAAAAACACCCTGAGGCCCGAGCTTTCGGTGTGCCGCCACAACGTCAATTTTAATTCGTTTTTGGCGAGTGTGCGACTCCAATGAACACTACGCCATCTTTATTTTTTGATAATTTTCTGTAATTTTTGGAAACAGCCATATTCATATACTAATAAAATTTACCTCCCCGAAATTTAAGAAAAAAAAGAAATGGAAAACAAAATTGGGAAAAATACAAACAAAAAACAATTTTATGTTAAAAAAGAAACAAAGAAACAAAAACAAAACAAAAACAGAACAGGTCAAAAATTAAGTTAACGCACTGTTCATTGGAGGTACCGATCGGTCGACCTTCACGATCGATAACTTTTGGCCGAATAGTGTCGTACACGATTTGTTAACTGACACCAGATTGCACCACACGTCGCCGACTCTTCCCAGCCATTAAAATAATAACTCCTGAAGTAAAATTTAGGCGCTATTTATAAAAAAGAATGTTCATGCGTGATCAGCCACCCTCAGAGGTGGGTGATTTTCTTCAAAATGAAATGAGACCACTATGGAGGTACCCTCTTTCCAACAAAAAAAGAATCATGAAAATCGGTTCACAAAGACCGGAGTTATCGCGTAACATACATACAAAAAAAAACATACAGTCGATTTGAGAACCTCCTCCATTTTTGAAGTCGGTTAAAAATAGTTTCATTTCATAGATGTAGTAGTTGTTTCATGTGATTCCACATCGTAAGTAGGTGACACATGATTTGTTGAGAAGTTAAATAAAAATTGTAGTAAATTAAATAGTAAAGTACACACGTCAGCACATCAAGCTACACATGTATCTTGTTCCGTTGCACTGGAGGCGATTTTCGAACAAAAATGTGTAGTCTTTTTTTTATACATGACAGGCAAATGACTCCACTCCACCTGATGTTAAGTGGAAAGTGGTATCCAAACGCGAACCTAGTGCAGCGATGAAACCCTCACTGCACTAGCCACCTCCAACCTGCCTGCCTACAATATGCCTCTTCACGCCTCGTTTGAAGGACCCCATATCGTAAGAGGGAGGGAAGACATGAGCCGGAAGGGAGTTCCATTTGTCAACCGTGCGGCAGAGAAAGGAGCCACCGAACCTTTTAGTACGCGATGGAATGCGGCAGGTAGTGAAACGGTGACTACAAAGGCCAGCACGCGTGCTTCTAAGCAGGAACGGGGAAGGGGGGATGAGGCTGAACAGCTCTTCAGAGCACTCACCATAGTACATGCGGTAAAAGGCGCTAAGCGATGCAACATTTCTACGCAGTTGCAGAGGTTCAAGGCGTGATGAGACCTGATGATGAGAGTCTGATGCGCCGTTGTCCGTACATAGATTATAGTTTTCGTAACCTTTTCAACGATTGTTATAAGACTTTGATTTGTTAATATCCCACATAAGATCAACCTTTTCAAGGATAAAAATGTAAGAGGTGCAATCGAATTTTGTTATCAAACTGCAAACTCCTCAGAATAAAAATATTGGTTTTATCATAAATTTTAAAGTATGATTGAAAAGTTGCCGGTATTATACTTCCATAATAAAGTATTTTGCATAATCAATAGTAAATTGATCTGAAAATATAAAATACGTTTCTCTTTTCGAACACATCTTGAATGCTCACAGGGAAGTAAACTATTATCCTCATATGATCCATTGTATAACTCTGTCTCGCTCTTTAGTTTTAGCTAGACCAGAGACATTAACAAACGTTTAAAAAGTAAAACTCCAGGCAATTCCCGTTCAACTTTGTGTAGGTCATGATACAAATTTAAATTTAACTGGTGTCACCCCGGACACTCCATACAACAGTCGAGGGTTATTTACCTAATACTACTACATGCAGCAAGTCGCTATGTGCACACGCGCAAACGTGTGCGTGAAAAAAAAAAAGGTGACCCATCACTTTCTCGTGCTATTACGTTACGTGGTCAGAGCGGCAACCAAAAATTCTAACACGAATCTGTTATCTATAATTCTATAAAATCCTAATAATTACACATGTTTATTAGGTGTTTATATCAATATAATTTTATATTTGTCATTAATTCGGAAAACGAAAGAAACTGATCTCTTTATCCCGTTTTGATGATAATAAACAACCGTCCATAGCACAACTCACGACCATTATAAATAGTAAGGTACAATGATGTTATATATTAACGTACAAGTTTCGTAATGAATACATGAAAGCTTAGCGCGAAAACGGCTTCCCGACAGCCTTGTCACCGTTCAGTCAAAGTGACCGCCAAAAATTGACAAAGCTAGGGAGGGGCGGAGAGTGTTCATTCTCTGCCAAGTTTGTTGAAGTGATTGCTAGTATGTTAATTCAAAGACGCAAGTTCTCAAAATTAATGCGGGATAGGAATACAAGTAATCGTTCTTGGGAACTTTGCCACATGACAAATTTGACGCCATGATCAGTAACTTGAAATAAATAATAAAGAAATTGAAGACGAATGCATATATTTCATTAATCGACATGATAATTTACTATCTTCTTTGGCGTTCACAGATTTACAATCCGGATGTGATCCAGGAGTTGTAGGAGGTCACCCTGGCGTAAGCTTGTGGGTGGCCCACTTGGCATCCGGCGACGTGGCCGAAGGACACGACACCGATCTGGAAAAGAAGAAAATGTTGAATGAAATATGCCAACATCGTGAGGATCTGTCTTTTAACAACAAGGCGTATGTAGGTTTCTAGGTGTAACAAAGAAGTTAATTGAAGAACTTACCAGTACGCCGTCGTATGCCAGGGGACCGCCAGAGTCTCCGCCGCACACAGAGCGTCCTCCAGCACCAGAGGTACAAATGTTAGAAGCAGGAATTGCGCCGTATGTGCTCGAGCAAACTGCGTTGGTTATCACCTGGAGAGTAACGTGATGGAGCTGCTGGTTTGTGCCGATGCCTGCGTCTGAAGCATTGGTAATAAAAGCATTTTTTATTTATTTATTCGAAAGCAGACTACAACGGTCCAAATTGGTTAGTTCTAAGATAATTCTTATGTTTGAACAACAGGAAAAGTTAGTTTCTGCAGATCAACATCTGGGTAAAGTGTCGCATGCATGTCGCATCCTTGCCCCTAAAGTCATCAAGGTTGGAACTAGCTCACAGCCTGCAGGTTTCGAGTCAGTCTTTTTCTAGCTTGACAAACATGCCTGAAGACGTTATTATATTGGAGACGAAGGACTCAATTATAATCAAAGCCTTTGATTATTGACCCGTGTATAATAAACATGTACTAAAGAACATTTGTGTCGCACACTGCATTTGATGTTACCTCGGGAAAATGCCTTGTATAATATAAGCAGAGGAAAGTTTTTTTATATAATATCAAGTGACGGGACGAACAAGTCGTGCACCTGATGGTTAGCGACACGCCTGTCCATAACAGTTCCAGTGCCACTCAGAGCTTTAAATCGCAAAGATATGAGGGGCACTGCCACTGTGCCCGTGTCCCTGAGATATAAGTTGACAAGTCGCGTATGCCTGTAATTTCACCAGTACCTTTAACCCTTCAAATCCGGAACTCAGTCATGCTGACATTACTGCTTGGCGGCCGAAATAGGTAAGGTGGCAGTACTTCCCTGGACGAACTCTTTCACAAGGAGCTGTACTGCTATGAATGGTCACTCACTCACTCCTTACGTATGTGACAGGGTCACAGTTGTCATTATCAAGCAAAATGTCCTTTCTACAATATTTAAAGTACTTTTGCCTTCGTGTTCCATAGCCGTGGAACGTCCTGTATGTGAGTAATAATTAATGATTCGTACTGTCTGATTGACGTCCAAAGCCAGCCGCTTGCGCATTCACGCCCACGAACAAATTGGATCCAGAAGCCAGGGGAATAGCACGGATGTTGTCTGAAAGAAAAACAGTGTTGTACAGATGTTTGACGAATCAAGTTTAAAATTATGCTCATCATCATAATCAATGAGTGGACTCACTGGTGTATTCAACGTGGCTGTGTGTGATGATAGCAATGTCGTTCGCTACCGTGTTGGGGTTCCAGTTAGAATGCATGACCACCTGCATGAGCGGACAAAGTTTAGTGTTATTATTGAATATCATTTATTTGAAGCGTCGTTAAAAACTAAAAACCAAGATTTGCAAAAAGCACATGGAAAAATTCGTAAGGTCTGCTGGTTTGTTCCGTAGCTTAGTTGGGAGAGCGTCCGGCACGGTATGCTGAAGGCGCTGGGTTCAGCTGGATCGATGGATTTTTTCATAGTAATTTCACAAAAAAAGTATTGAATATAATAGCAGTAAATTGTGATTCTCAATGAACTTCATATTACGAAACTATTGTAATATATTTAAAGCGATAATTTAAACAACCCAACTCACGTTATTGGTGTTAACCCTGGTACCTCCGCTGAACAGGGTAATGGATCCATAAACAACGGTGAACTCACTAGCTTGGTTCCTTCCGTCCCACCAGCAATGAGCGGCGGTGACGGCGCGGGTGTTGGATATCATCGAAGACCCGCAGACTGAGGTCAATATTATATTCAGTCTAATAACCAGACCGCCCTAGAAGTAACAAATCGACATTAAATTATAACAAGGATAGGAGTCTCCCCTGGCATATATACGGGCTCTTCTTCTTTTGCCTAGCCGTATTTCCATTTGGGGTCGGCCCTTCTGGTCACTTTTCTCCAAGACGGTCTGTCCTGTGTCGCCTGTGGTCTTGACTGATGCTCTCGCAGATCTTTATTAAGAAGGGACATCCATGTGAGGCGGGGTCTACCACGTCCCTAGTGCTGGTTACTCATGTCAAGGACTTTCCTTGCCATATGATCAGGCGGTCGTCGCATAATATGTCCGTACCACCTAAGTCGGCTAGTAAATTTTCCGGGATATGCCTCACGGCATATATACGGGGAAATGTTTTAAATCTAACAGCCACGCAGGACTATTTTATTAACATCATAAACAACTACTTTGTTCTATTACTTTTTATATAAAAATCACCAAAAATAAACTTTCAAGTTTTTGTTGTACAATTTGACACTTTTAGATAGATCTGTATTTGGTGGTAAAGTAGTTTGAACGTGCAAGCGTCACGTCACGTCATTTCAATGTATATTATATTACGGGCCTTCACCAGCTATAAGATTCCGGCAGTTCTCGAGCCCACTGGCATCCGTCGCAGTGACGGTAAGAGGCCTGACGGTATGACTGTCGGTCCATGGAAACTAGCGAGACAGCTAGTGTGGCACGCAACTTGTGTGGACACTGTAGCCCCCTCCCATGTCCTTGCAAGGGTGGGCGGCGCAGGCTCTATGGCCAGAGCGGCCGAGAACCGCGAATGGCTCAAATACTGCATGCTTTACGCCTTTTGCGATTAAAACCCTGGGTCTCTGGTGGCCACAAGCGACAGGCAATGTTGCTATGTCTGTCCTAGACAGTGATGTTAGGAATATAGTCCTGCAAGGTTGTTAATATAAAAAAAACAGTTAAATTTGAATGTGATATTTTTTCATTAGAATGTACACTGAGCGTTTATGTGATTAATATCATACATAGAAGAAAAATAAAAAGGGTGTAAGTAAAAAAGCCTTAATAATGTCTGTCTCACCATGTGCGGGAATTGCCCCAGGGCAGCATTGGAGCCTCCAACGATTCTGACGCCGGAGAAGTCAGCAGCTTCTTCGGCTGCCTTGATCCGGGCAGCCTCTTTGATGCCGATGGTCTCGTGGTAGTACCTGATAAGAAAATCATGGTTAAATGTTCATGAGTAACGAAGTCGTGTCACCTTAACTTCGGTGGTGCAACGTTTTGCTGTTGGTTTTGGTTGAGGAGGTCCCAGGTTCAATACCCGGAAGTTTTAATTTCGGAAATTAACTTTTCTGATTTGGTTCTGGTCTGCTTGTTTCGAGTAGTGGTCATAGTACGGGAAATGTCTTAGTTTTTGACAAGGTAATTAATGTGGCTGTCTTGCATTACATTACATTACCTGCAATTGATGATAAATAGAAGACGAAAGAA